CATGGCAAACAGCGTCCACCCACCCATCCCGACTCTTGACATTAGGACAGACGGGATTTAGAAACTTGAGTCACTGGACATTAATCAATCAACTGGTCCCGACAAAATCCATTCCTTCTCCCTTAAAACCTGCGCCTCCCCCCCCCCACCCCTATTCTCGCCCCCATCCTCCAAGCCATATTTACGCAAGCCCCAGGTCACCCAATCTCCCATGCGACTGGCTTTGTAGCAGACGTCGCCGGTGTTTTCAAGGCAGGAGACCAGACGGACCCATGCAATTATCGCCCCATCTCTCTCTCACCTCTCACAGACTAACAACTATGAACAAAATCACAAACAACCAGATCGACATAGATAAACCAGATTACTTACAAAATTAAAACACATCTATTATACTAAACGCCCACAACCAGAAGTACTTGACATGCCACACTTGTGCAGACTCCTTCAAACACTTACACTTTCCGCGCACCTTCGTGACTGGAGTAGACTCCCGCAGAAAAAAGCAGACACCTTCCACAAACTTACCCTAAAACATTTCAGACATAAAACATATGTTATATATATATATATATATATATATATATATATATATATATATATATATATATATATATATATATATATATATATATACATATATACACATACATACATACATAGGTATTATAATTCAGAGAAAACTAACAAGCAAAACAAGCGATACTAACACGATGTCCCCCCCCCCAGCCCCGCCACCCCGACGCCTGGCAGTTCGGCGGCACCAACCTCGCCTCTGCCATCGGGATCATGAGCTTCGCCTTCATGTGCCACCACTCCAGCTTCCTCGTGTACGAATCCCTGGCGGACAACACGCAGGAGCGCTGGAATAAGGTGGGTTTGAGGGGTGTGAGGTGGGTTTGAGGGGTTTGAGGGGGTTTAAGGGGGTTTTGAGGGGGTTTTGATGGGGTTTGTGGGGGTTTAGGGGGTTTGAGGGGGTTTGAGGGGTCTTTTGGGGAGGAGGAAAGGGAATCGCAGGGGGTGTGGGTGGGCGGTGAGGTTAGCGTTGGGGGGCAAATTTTTTTTAGATATTTAGTTTGGAGGGATCTCCTCTCTCTCTCTCCTCTCTCTCTCTCTCTCTCTCTCTCTCTCTCTCTCTCTATTCGCTCTCTCGGCTCTCCTCTCTCTCTCTCTCTCTCTCCTCTCTCTCTCTCTCTCTCTCTTCTCTCTCTCTCTCTCTCTCTCTCTCTCTCTCTCTCTCTCTCTCCTCGCTCTCTCTCTCTCTCCTCTCTCTCGTCCTCTCTTCTCTTCTCTCTCTCTCTCTCTCTACTCTCTCTCTCTCTCTCTCTCTCTCTCTCTCTCTCTCTCTCTCTCTCTCTCCTCTCTCTCTCTCTCTCTCTCTCTCTCTCTCTCTCTCTCTCTCTCTCTCCTCTCTCTCTCTCTCTCGTTCTTTCTCTTTGGCTGTCTTCCTCTCTCTCTCTCTCTCTCTCTCTCTCTTATCTCTCGTGTCTCTTCTCTCTCTCTCTTCTCTATCTCTCTGTCTCTACTCTCTCTCTCTCTCTCTTCTCTCTCTCTCTCTCTCTCTCTCTCTCTCTCTCTCTCGTATCTCTCTCTCTCTCTCTCTCTCTCTTCTCTCTCTCTCTCTCTCTCTCTCTCTCTCTCTCTCTCTCTCTCTCTCTCTCTCTCTCTCTCTCTCTCTCTCTCTCTCTCTCTCTCTCTTCCCCTTCCCTTTGCCCCACTCTCTTTGTCACCCCTTCTCTCCCCTTCCTTCCCTCCCTACCTTTCTTCCTTTCTCCTTCCCTCTTCCGTCCCTCTCTCCTTCCCTCTCAATATAGGAGCTAAATCAACACGACCCGGTTTGACCTAATATTTTCTTCCAGGTGACTCACATCTCGATTGCTTCCGCTGCAGTCCTCAGCTTAGTGTTTGCCGTGGCTGGATACGTGACTTTCACTGGACTTGCACAAGGTCGGTACCTTTTAGTTGTATTTTCTTCTGTTTATTATATAGTGTGTGGTTATAGATATGTATAAATATATCTGACAGTTCTGCGGATGATTCTATATTAAACTTTCTATCTAAATGATTCGGTCTACAATTCATCCGATCAATCTCTGCTAGATACAACGTAGGGTAGACAAAGCTTTCGGTTCGTGGAATTTTACGCCTGACTAACGAAGCACGCACCCACACCCTCGTGCTTCTAGGAACCTCGCTCGTTACATTACCTCGTTTACACGCCCACCCACCGAACCCCCACACGCTTGCTTCTGCCCACGCCCATTTCTGATTACTTCGATCTAGTGATATTTATAAACCTCTTTTCCTATAATTTTATGTATATATATGTGTGTGTGTACATATATTTTAATTCAATTTTTTTTTTTTACCAATGATTCTTGGCATTTTAATTCCATGCAAATTCATTCTTTCTACGTTCGTGTTTTTTACCATACTAATTTCTAATTAATTCAATCCATATGTTTCTTCCAGTTTCTACCCAGTCCTATTTCGGTCCTTGCATATATATGTCTCCTTCCATTTATGCCTTTGGCTATTTTCACCCTTGTCCATCCACGTCAGCTACGCATACCCATGTTTCTTTCTTCTTTCTTTCTTTCTTTCTTTCTTTCTTTCTTTAACCGTAATGCCCATCCACATCCATCCTAAGCCAATATCCTCCTAATACCCCATTTCGCGATTATTTCCTTCAACACCTATCCGTGTCGCATTGCAATCCACGCCCATTTCCGCCCATTCCCGCCCGCGCCCATCCTCCCAGTTCTGCCCCATTCGCGTCCCTAAGGCCATCAGACGAGGGAGTGCGCGCGATGGGTTCCAATAACCAATTTCGCTCGCGAGAATAAGACAGACGGGAGGAGGGGAGGGAAGAGGGAGGAAGGAGGGGAGGGGAGAGGGAAGGGGAGGGGGAGGAAGAGGGGAAGGAGGGGAGGGAGAGGAGAGGGGGAGGGGAGAGGGAAGAGGGGGAAGGAGGGGAGGGGGAGGGGGGGGAAGAGGAGGGGAAGAGGGGAAGGAGGGAAGGAGGGGAGAGGGAGGGGAGGAGGGGAGGGGAGAGGGAGGGGAGGGGAGGGGAGAGGGCGGGAGGGAGAGGGAAGAGGGGAAGAGGGGAAGGAGAGGGGGAGGAGGGGAGGGGAGAGGGAAGAGGGGAGGAGGGGAGGGGGAGAGGGAAGGAGGAAGGAGGGGAGGGGAGGAAGAGGGGAAGAGGAGGGGAGGGAGGAGGGGAAGAGGGGAAGGAGGGGAGGGAAGAAGGGAAGGAGGGGAGGAGAGGGAAGAGGGGAAGGAGGGGGGAAGAGGGGAGGGGAGGGGAGAGGAAAGAGGGGAGGAGGGGAGAGAGGGACAGGGGAAGGACGGGAGGGGAGGAAGGGGAGGAGAGGAGGGGAGAGGGGAGAGGGGAGGGGAGAGGGAAGAGGGGAAGGAGGGGAGGGGAGAGGAAGAGGGGAGAGGGAGGGAAGAGGGGAGGAAGGGAGGGGAGAGGGAGGAGGGAAGAGGGGAAGGAGGGGAGAGGGAGGGGAGAGGGAAAGGGGAAGGGAGGGGAGGGAAGAGGAGAAAGACGGGAGGGGAGAGGAAAGAGGGGAGGAGGGGAAGGGAGAGGGAACAGGGGAAGGACGGGAGGGAGAGGGCATGGGGAAGGAGGGAGGGGGAGGAAGAGGGGAAGGAGGGGGGAGGGAAAGAGGGGGAAGGAGAGGGGAAGGGAGGGGAGGGGAGAGGAAGAGGGGGAGGGGAGGGGAAGAGGGGAGGGAAGAGGGGGGAGGGGAGGGGAGAGGGAAGAGGGAAGGGGAGGGGAGAAGAGGGATAGAGAGGTGGGAAGAATGCAAGGAAGGAGAGGAGAGGAGAGGAAGGGGGAGGAGGGGAGGGGAGAGGAAAGAGGGGATAGAGGGGAGGGATGTGAGGAAAGAAGAGGGAAGGGGAAGTGTAAAGGGGGAAGAGGAGAGAAAGGTAGCCGGGAACGATGGAGAAAAGGCAGAAAAGAGGGAAAGGGAGAAGCAAGGGGAAGGGAGGGGATGGAAGTTAGGGAAGAGGAGAGAAGAGCGAGGAGGGAAGAGGAGATGCAAAGGGGAAGGAATGGGGAGGGGAAAGGAAAGAGGGGAGGGAGGGAAGGCTAGAGGAGAGAAGCGAAAAGAGCGAGCAGGGGAGAGACAAAGGGTACGAGAAGAGGGTGTGGGGAGGAAAGAGGAAGGTAAGGAGGAACTTTAGGACATGGGGAAGAGAGGAGAGGGATAGAGAAGAGAAGAACAGAGGCGGGAAAAGTCAAGGAGAAAGGAAGACAAGGAGACAGAACCGTGGAAGAGAGAAAAAAGGAGAGGGATAGAGGGAATAGGAGAGAGAGTAGGAGAGGGAACAGGTTTGACAGATCAGGAAAAAAAGAGGATATGGAAGGAGTGTAAAAAGAGAGAAGAGAACAAAACAACAACAAAATCAAAGTAGAAAGCGGAAGAGAGGAAGAGAGGAGACAAGGAGAAAGAGATAGAAAGTGAGGAAAGGGGAGTCGAGAGGTGACAGCCTGGAATGCGAAACGGCAAGGAAATCTGGAATGGAATGGAATGGTCGGGCCGGTGCGAGGAGGAGCGGGAACACGGGCAAAGAGGATTCCTAGGGAGATTACAGGCGGATCGACAACTTCAAGGAAATTGTATTTCAGGTTTAGAGACGGTCTCTGTTGGAAGGTCTGCTGGAGGTTTAGATAGATCGATAGATTGATAGACAGACTGGTTGATTGGCTGATTGATTGGCTGATTGATTGGGTGATTGATTGACTGATTGATTGATTGATTGACTGATGATTGACTGATTGATTGGCTGATTGATTGACTGATTTGATTGGCTGATGGCTGATTGAGAAATAGACTGATAAATGTAATGAATAGATGATATATGCATATGTGTATGTGTGTGCGTGTGTGTGTATATAGATAGATAGAGAGAGGGGGGGGCACCGATTTATATACAGATAGAGATAAAGATATACACATAGATATAGATAGACAGATAGATAGATAGGTAATAAGGATAATATAACTTAACTTAGATGATCCTTCCAACTGGATAGCGAAACAAAGAACAAAGTATTTGGAAAGACACTGTTGAATAGAGCAGCGGAATTTCTGTCGAAGTGCTGGAGAACTTTGGGGTCACAGACAAATGACGATCACTGATCATGTAACTCTTCTTCGAATGCTATTAAGGATACATTTTAATGATATTGGATTTGAATTTTAGCTGCATTCCTTCATCTATTGGCTGAAAATTGAAAGTGTTGATAATGCACCAGTGTTAGTCAGAAAATTAAGTAAGCTCGAGGAGAATTTAAACACATTAGTAGAATTTCAATATTTTCGAAACTTGAAGAGTAATCGCTGTGTTTAGAGCCGCAATTAGTAAACATAGCTGTATGTGAATAACGATAAGCAGAAAAAAAACATACATCAACTGAGTTATCTGTCCCCAAATATATCAATCCGAAGAGACGACGGAAGGAAAACGGGAATCAGGAATAGAAAACGTGCAACTAATATCAATAGAGAGAAAAGGGATAAAATAGGTACCCTGAAGACCTTTATGCCCCACACAAACAAGCCCGAGCAGAGAAAGGACTCATCCCATCCTCTGTCAAAGGTCTTGCCGACGTCGAGAGTAATAACATAAGGATCACCATAATCCTACACAGACGAAGACTCGCTCTAAGATATCTTATGCTGATGAGTCTCCGAGGAATTTATAACGACGAGCTTAAAAGGAGGTGAAGCGTTCAAAGGAGAAGATAATGTAGGTAGAATTAGAGGCCTTTCATCTAGGGTGGGACGAACCACAGGGTCTTGCATATCTTTAGCCTTCAAATAGCAGAACCCTCTTTGTAAACGAAGGTTCTGCAAACATTGTTCGATATATTCATTTTACGTTGAAGACCATTTTTCTGAGAGACACATATGGATAAGGATGAATAAATCTATATAAAGAAATGAATAATAGTTCAGCAATTCCTACGTGGATATTTCTGGAATGAATGAACTGTAGATCTTTTAGCTGTGTTATCAGTTACATTATTATCAATGCGATTATCACTATTATTCCATTATCATCATTATTGCTATTTCATTATCATCATTATTGTTATTTCATTAATATCATTATTACCATTACCATTATCCCGATCACCTTTGTTATCACCTCCCCCCGCCTCAATACCCCCACCCCCATCCCAGCACCTCAATAGCCCCCACCCCCACCCCAGCGCCTCAATACCAATCCCACCCCAGCGCCTCAATAGCGCCTCAATACCCCCCCTCCCGCCCTTTGACGTCTTCGAGACCTCCCCCCCCCCCCGCTTCAATAACCCCTCTCGACCCCCTCTTCTTCCAGGCGACGTCTTCGAGAACTACTGCTGGGCCGACGACCTCATGAACATCTGCCGCGGTTTCTACGCCGTCACCATCCTGCTCACGTTCCCCATCGAGTGCTTCGTGGCCCGGGACGTTCTCGAGACGGCGTTCTTCCAGGACTACCAACCGCAGCCGTTCTTCCGCCACGCCGTTCTCTCGGTCCTCATCGCCCTGCTGTGCATGCTGCTCTCGCTCGCCACGGACTGCCTCGGGATCGTGCTCGAGCTGAACGTAAGGCGCCTCCGAGGGCAGGGCGCCGCTCGACGCTCTTTTGTTTTATCGCGTTTTCTTTTTGTCTTGTTTCTTGTTTTTTTCTATTTTGTTTTGTTTTCTTTTCTTTTGTCTTGTTTCTTGTTTTTTTCTATTTTGTTTTGTTTTCTTTTCTTTTGTCTATTTTTCTTTTTTTTCTTTTTTTGCTGTTTTTTTATTCATTTGTTCTTTTTTACTGCCTTTTGATTTCGTATGTGTAAATTATTTTCGTCATAATTTTGGCGCTTCCCTCGCGACGGATTAGATCAATTTTTATCTTGATTTTATCTCATTCGTTGTGTTTTGTCTTTGTCTTTTTGTTGTTCCATAATTATTCTTATTTCTTTATTTTATATCATAGTTGTTTCTGTATTGAAAAAAATATTCTCCGTGTAGGATGAATTGGAAGAATGCTTTGTTTTGTTTTTTACTTTTCTTATTTTCTTTTTTGCATCTTTTCTTTTTCGTATTCTTTGTTATTTGTGTAAACATTGTTCTGCAATAAACTTTTGCTTATTTTCTGATCGATTTCTTCTTCTCTATCCTTCTTCTTTTTTCTACTAATTCAGTCTCTTTTTATATAAAATTATCAATATAATTTCTTGTCAATATCAACAATAGCAACATCTGCCACTCGAGTTACCATTCCGATTGTACCGTAAATATTTAGTTTTCGAGAGTTCATTCGAGTCACTAAACTTTCGTACTACAGATGCGATAGATATTCGTTCCTCTGATGGCACAGATGCTTTAATTTCCAGATATCACAGAAGTCCAGGTGTTCAGGTGTTTAAATCCCCAGATATCACAGATGTTCAATTGTTTATATCACAGTAGTTTACGTGTTCAGCTACTTAAGTTCCCAGATAGCCCAGGCCTATTTGTTCAGATGATTAAGTTCTCAGATATCTCGATTTTAAGTGTTCTGATTTCTAGATGTTCAAATATCACAGATGTAGAAGTGTTCATCTGTTTAGATATTCGGATATCACAGAAATTAAAGTGTTCAGATGTTTAAAATTCTCAGATAACACAGGTCTAAGTCTTCGAGAGTTGTTTAATTAAGTTCTCAGATATCACAAATGTTTAAGTGTTCAGATATCTACCTCCTCAGTTGTCACAGAAGTTTGAATGTTCAGATGTTTAATTCCACAGATATCACAGAAGTCTAAGAGTTCAAGTGTTCAGATCTCCAGATACCATGTTTAAGTGTTCAGATTTTGAAATATTCAGATATCACAGATGTTTAGATCCTCAGATATCACGTTTAAGTGTTCAGATTAATTAATATTCAGCTATCACAGATGTTTAAGTGTTTATCTGTTTAGATATTCACCTATCATAGATGTTCAAGTGGTCACCTTTTTATGTATTCAGATATCACACACGTGTATATCACATATGTTTACCCTTAGTAATTACAGATGTTTTCACATATGCTTAGACATCTTTTATTAATGTACATGTGTGTAATTCTACCAATGCCTCACACTTTTCCCAATGGTTCTTAACCCTCCCTCCCTCCTTCAGGGTATTCTGTGCGCCGTGCCCCTGGCCTACATCCTACCTGCTCTCTGCTACATCAAGCTGGAGGAGGGCCCCCTGTGGTCTCAGAGCAAGTGGACGGCGTGGGGCGTGGCCATCTTCGGCGTCACCAGTGCCATGGTTGGCACCGTGTCTCTCTTCAGGAACATCGGAGAGCTGTCGGAGTGTTCTCATGGCACCCAGATGCCCTACTGTCTGACCGGCGTGAATGAAACGGCGGTTGAGTTTAATTTCTAAGCTGCAGAGATTTGGTCAAAAGCTGAGTTGATTTCGGCATTTTTTTTCGTATTCCCTTTCTGTGATTACTCCTTTCTTTCGTCACTCGTTTCGTTTTCCCAATTCATATGTTCCTTTTTCCTCTTCTTTTCTCGTCTCTCCTGGTAATTGTGATTAGTCAATTTTTATACTAATAAGTCTCGATAGTAAAAAAATGTTAAAGAAAAATAAGCACTGACGTAAAGGAAAAAAGAATTCTAAAACCCAAGTGGAAAGAAAGTGATGGAAAATATATATTAATCTTGATGTTAGAAAAATGACAGCATTATGTGCATATAGTGATATCAGCCATATTTACACTCTTGGAATTCATGAGTATATAATTAACATATCTCTGTGGCCATGGGCAACTTCAGGAGAGGAAAGGGGGCTTATATGCGCATACCTCACCGTGGATGGGCCAATTTTGAAAAAAAAATATATACATATATCCTTACTTTTTTTATATGTAATCAAATTAATAAATGGTTATACTTCTACGTAGTCGCAAATGCATAAAGATGAAAACTGCACCACGCTTGCCCTCCGCTATCAGAAATCTTTGCAAGCCCCAAAGATGAATAATGTTTTGTGTTTTTTTTTTTTAATACATAGGAAAAGTATTTGTAAACCCATGAGCCAAGCTAGCGAAATATATATCAATATCACAGGCCTATATCAAGATTTTCATGATGCGCCAACGGTGAATTACAGGCGTAAATGTTATGTCTACTTCTAATGTGAGAATTTGGCGCTTTCTAGATGTGATGCTGGGATACAAACGTATTTGATATTTGGCTTATTTTTTATAAAATGTTGAGTATGAGTAATTTCTTGCACTTATTCTCGTTGCATATGTAATTATTCGTGCTAGGGCAAGTACGGTTCTTTATTCTGAACAAAATTGGGAATTTTTAACATTGATAATGATGTTAATTGTAACTTTGTGGTCTTAAATATATTTACTCGACGTAAATACTGATTCCATGTTAAATCCAAGTTGATTCAGTTAAAAAATCCATGCGAACTCAAAGTCCATGAATCCGCAACGCTTGTAAGAACGCATCACAGATGGAACGGCGCCACTGCACCCGTAGTTTAGTGGGCTTTCACCCGTTCGTATAGACCGGATAGATGCTTTTTTATGCAGACGGTATCATGAGCGACAGAGCTTTGTGATAAAATACTTGTCTGGCGTTTGAGGTGAAATAATATATAAAAAAAATGTTTGTAAATTTGTCAGACAGTCATCAGGGCATCGTTTACTAAATGAGACGATGAATCCTGTTATAAAACCTAATTTTGTCGGGTTAGTCTTAAGCTCTGAAACTGAAGTGTGATGTATAACATTTGACTTTCAAGAATAGCCGGGTTATATATACCATATATAATCAAATATTATATATTATTATAAGTATGTAATTCCTCTTTGGAAACATTTATTTTTTTTAGATTTGTTTGTTTGTTATTACCACAGTTATCAGTGATATACAACTTTGGAGGATCTGATTGTTATCAGTTGTAATTCTTACCATTTTAGTTTATTTGAGATTAATACGGACACGAGTAATATA